CTCAGAGAATGACCATTAGAAGTCAGATATGAGGGAGTTTTCAAATGAACCCAATGTTTTATTTCACTAGTTGAAAAAAGTTTACATCTTGAAGTCAATGACATAAAATAGTTCACAGGGATAATTAAAGTAGCTAACTGAGAACTCAAGATCTAAATTTTTTGTCAAAAAATAAATATATATCGAGAAATGTTCGCATATAGTTAAGATCGCAGATTGCACCCCTGATAGGATAAACAATTTGGATAGCATGTAAGTACATATTTATCCCTAATTTTCACAGGATTAACACAACTGACTTTATTTCTCTCAGCTGTGGATTTTAGCTCGAGGATAATATGGTCTTTGAGCTGGTCAAGAGAGCATAGATCCAAAAAGGAGCCTTTGAAGCCGTTTTGCTTAGCCCATTTTAAGGTGTTCTCTTCATTTGGTACCACAACCGAGACGAGCATGGACTTGAAGCTGTCTCCATACACCCAAATCTAAAAGGATGCCATTTGACAGTTGGTCAATAAGGAAAAATAACCGCACATATAAAAATTTACAACTTTTGAATATATTGCATACTGAATATGAACTAAACTCGATGCTTACATCTTCTATGATGGGTGTAATGGTGTAAACTTTTTCCAGATACTCAACGGCAACATATTCCCCCTGAGATAGCTTAATAAGATTCTTCTTTCGATCAATGATTTTTATAATTCCATTTGGCAGCATCTCTCCTATGTCACCTGAGAATAAGATTTTTAAGGTTAATGATGGAAACTCCCTTGGTTTCAGTCAAATTCTTGAAATTACAATTACAATTCCTGATATTTTGTTTCTATTCTAAAAGATTTCACCTAAAGTTTTGCAATTTATCCTAAATTTCGTATTTTTCATTGTCTTAACCTGTGTGAAACCATCCATCCTTGACGACTTCATTTGTCAATTCGGGGTTCTTGTAGTATCCGGCGAATGGTGTTTTTGGGCGAAGGCATATCTCGCCGCGTGAGGGTTGGGCCAGCGGATCGTATCCCATGTCTGCAACTTCCTCCAAACGGACCTCCGAATAAACGAAAGAGGAACCCACTGTTCCGATCAAGCACATCTCATCTGGAAAGCCAAGTGTCGACAATCCACAACTCTCAGTCAACCCTGCACCACTTGCATTCATCGTGTGAATAAAGATGACTTTTTTGCTCTCTCTCTCTCTCTCTGTGTAAAAAGGTTAGTTTACCGTATCCTTGTACTACGAAAGCACAGGAAGTAACTCTAAGGAACTCCTCGACTTCACTGCTTAATGCTGCACCGCCAGAGACAATCAGACGTAGTCTGCCACCTAACCTGCTCTTGATCTACACAAGAAATACTCAAAATGTTAGCCACCCAAATATTTCATACTTTTTTCCCAAAAAGCAGCCAACCAAAAATCAAGCTTGTCTGTTTCTTCAATTTTATTTGTTTTAAATGCCGGTTGAAGTTCAGGAGCATAAATACAGTAAATTTCGCGATTCACTTTCGGGCCCTAAGGCATAATTGGATATTATCGTACAAATGTGAACAGACAGTCAAAAATAAAGGGCAAAGGCAACCTTCCCAAAAGCTAGTAGATCTGCCAGGGGTGATGCATCCTTCTGTTTGTATCCTTTGTTCAACCAGTAAAGCTTGCTGTATCATGGATGCAAGAATATTAACATAATACTCTTATTTATATTTAGTTTTTAAAAAAATAAAAAAAATAAAAAATATTCCATGAGGACCAAGAAGCAGAATGAGGCTACTAATTACTATTTGTAAAGCATGCTGAAAATCTTTCTCCTCCTCCAGTTCAGTTCTCCAACAGCTTGTAGGACTCCTGGATAAATGTAGCTATATGTTAGCTGTATAGAACAAATCAAAGTTGAATGCATATTAGAACTGTTAAGAAAAGCAAATATGGGTTGTACCTTCATGAATTCGTTCAAAGACTCGCGGGACGCCGGCCAAAAATGTTGGCTTTAGCTCGAGCAGATCATCCCTGATCTCATTGATATTCTTCAATAGCCAGCGAAAAAAGATGATCAGACTTCGATAAAATTCGGGTATTTATTATAAGTCTAGGGAAGCCAACATGATTAATATCTTTATTTGTTCAGAAAATAAAATAACAGAACTCAGTAACGGATTTACAACTTACCCCATGATAGTAGCCGACAGAAGCACCCTTGTGGAAGAAATATTCTTCGATCAGACGATCGAGAATGTGAGCAAGGGGTAAGAATGAAATGTACACATCATCCACCGTCATCTATTTCAAAGAACCCAATAATTAATTGAAATAACTTTCTAAAAACATNAAAGGTTGTCTAATGGTAATGATATATCAAACTCCAGAAGAAGAAATCACACGAACCTTGTCTTCAAATTGCTCCATGAAAAGATCCACGCCTCTTATGTTTGTTGAAATGTTTTCATGGGTTAATATTACACCTTTAGGGTCACCACTCGTGCCACTGGTGTACATAATCGTACCAATGTCTGACGGTTTTGGAGGGGAAATTTCACACGGATTTTCTCTTCCCTAACACAATAATCAAAACAATGTCAATTTATTCAAGAACGAAAATTCAATTTAAACATGACCGTTTGGATTTTTTTCACGTTGGTCATAAAAAAAGTTTGATGGTAAACATTAAAGTGAAAGGGCATTTACCATATTAAGGAACTCTTTCCAAGAACATGTTTTGATGCCAATAAAGGCAGCCTTATCCTTTTGTTCGTCCGTTAATGAAGTGAAGCAAACAATCACTATATGGAAAAGAAAACTCAGTAAAATAATTTTCAACTTATAATAAAACAAATTTAGATTCACACTCACACTTTAGCCTTTGAGCATGAGCGCATTCAGGATTCAGTAGCTGCAATGAAAGATTTTTTGGAGTCAGAAATTTCACACGAATTCTATGGGAGAACTGATGCAGCTAAAAACCATAAGGAAATGTAGAATAAGTCTATGATGCTCACTTCCTTTACTTTCGCATCTTGAACGAAAACAACATCAATCTCAGCATGATCTAATATGTAATCAACAGCTCCTGGTCCTGCCATAAAGAAAAAAGAGGGAAAAATTATTGAGATTATACTATCTATATCTATATCTATACTACTCTAAAAGGACGAGTGTTTTTGTAAAAATATGAACTACCTAAAATAACCTTACTTTGACATATTTTTAATGGCAAATTAGTAATACAGTAATACATATTTTAATTTATATTTTTAATTAAAAAAATGAATTACCTAAAAAACCCTTACTTTAACATGTTTTTAATGGCAAATTAGTAATACACTAATGCCTATCATATCTTAAAATTTTAATTAATAACTAATGCTTAATTACTTAAATACAAATACATGAACAATACATTTCACATCTCCTAAAAATCAAACACAATATTCACGCACCATTATTTCTCACGAAATTGCTTTCTTCTACATATCTCCCAAAAATCAACCTAACATCAACCTAAACAATAAATTTTTGAAAAGATATAGAATTGTCGTTTTAAAAAAAAAATCCTTGTTTTTAATATAATTTTATACATTATCTGACAAACTAGAAAAGTTGAACAATTCATTTAACTACTTCATTATTTAAGAAAAGTAAAATCTTATATTTAGAATTAGAATAGAAATTGCACTTTAGTCTTACTGGATGGAATTTTGATCCTACAAAAATCGTCATTTGTTTGTTTGTTTGTTTTTTCCAATTTTAGTCACAAAATGAATAAAATTAACGAATTTTCACTTGACCATTAAATGGTTAATATCAAGGTGAGTAATATTTTAATTATTAACAATTAAAATATATGAATTTTACATTCAATAATTAAGTAAAATATCATGAGATTTTAATTGTTATTATTTTATATGAGCCACTGATTTTAAAAATGTGTGCTAAATAAAAGAATGATTTGAAAGTAAAAAATAATAATAAATCTGATGAATAACATTAAAAATATAATTAAGGTGTTACGCTTGCTAAGAAATATGAAAACAAATAATAAATAAAAATTTTATAATTAATAAAATTAAACATAAAACTTTTAAAATTTATATTTATCGATGTAAATGAATCGAATTGTTTATTTATTTTTATTTTTTGTGCTTATTAGTTCTATGTGTAACTTTTAGGTGATAGATAATATTTATTTGTAATTTTATCCATGTAGGTTGGAAATTTTAATATTTTAAAAAATGATTATTTTAATTTTAAATAAATTTTTATTTGATATTAGTTTTTCTAATATAATATATAAATATCATATTTCAATATAAAATAATAATTATTTTCGTTATTTAATATTAATACGTAAAAAGGTTGTAATTCAATTGAGAAATTAATAGGTAATCTTGAGTTAAAATAACGAGTGATTTCTAAAAAGTTATATAGACTAAATAGTTTATGTGTTTAATATATTTTTAATAAAAAAATTATAAACGCAATCAATTAATAGAAAAACTACAACATAAAAATTTTAATATTTAAAAAGGAATGCAAAAAATAAAATGTTATGTTGCAATGAAAAATCCAACGATAAGATGTTCCATTAAAAATTCTAAAGGATATTTCATTTGCATAGCTTTCATTTGAAAATATCATTGGCTATTCCAACATAGATCAAATTATATTATAATGGAATTTTAATGGATTTAATGATTCGAGTTACCATTATTTATTTCTTGTGTGAATTTTCTTTTTGGGAACATATCAATGAAAGTTGCATTGGAAAGCTAATTGCAGTGATAGATACAGACAATTTCATATTGAGGGCACTATTTAGTTAATAGAAAAAATATACCATCAAAATAACATAATGTCATTACAATATTTAAATTTTACTTTTCAAAATTTGTCATCTTTCTCATCTGTAATACATGTTTACAAATCTTTACAGTTACAATAAGTTAAAAGTATTAAAAAAAAAATATAATTTTTCTCAACTAAAAGTAAGCAAATCATTGAAAAAAATATATCTTTTAAAATCTGATGAACAAAAAATTTATGTTGTAGTATAGATGACTCGACAATTTTGTTGATGAATTTATAAATTATGACTAATTGATTATAATATTAATGAGAAAATTATAATTGTATATAATATAATATTAAGATATATAAATAGATTATATATTAACACATATGACCAAAATAATATATTCTTTAAAAATCTTATGAACAAAAAATCTATGTGGTAGTATAGTTGACTCGACAATATTGTTAATTAATTTATAAATTATGAATAATTGATTATAATATTANNGNG